AAGAAAAAAAAAAAAAATACAAAAATTAGCTGGGTATGGTGGCATGCGCCTGTAGTCCCAGCTACTTGGGAGGCTGAGGCAGGACAATTGCTTGAACCCGGGAGGTAGAGGTTGCAGTGAGCTGAGATCACGCCGTGCACTCCAGTCCGGGTGACAGAGTGAGACCCTGTCTCAAAAAAAAAACAGAAAAAGAAAAACTAATGGATAAAGTGAGTGCCTTTGGAAGAAAGGAACCTGACTTTCTTCATAAACCCTCTGTACTTTCATTTTGTTATGTCTTTATTCTTTATAAGTTTTACTTGTGTTTTTTTACATTTAAATGTATAACAATACTTTGTATGTAGAACTTTTGAGAAAGTCTAATACTTAAGTAAAAGGGGAAAATGGATGACCACGTAATATTGATGAGCTAGTTGCTTTGCATGCTAATAGAATAAAAATTTGCTTCAATATGAGAAAAAGGCCTAAAGGAAGTTAGCACTATCAGTCGGGAAAAGAACATTAGAGATGTAGTTTGACTGTTGAAACTGTAACCCTCAGCTCATCTGATCTCAAAACTATGTGTTCATTTATTATAGCAGGAAGTTAAAATGCTGATTCAGTCAGTGACAGGCATCTGTTCTGTTTTGTTCTGTATCTCGTAGAGTGATGGTGTGCAACAAACAACCTACCTCGCCCAGCAGTACTGCCATGAAGCAATAAGAGAGATCAGTAAACTTCGACCATCCCCAGAAAGAGATGCCCTCATTCAACTTTCAGAAATTGTACTCACAAGAGATAAATGACAACTCTTTCTGTTCTTTCTGGCAGCTATCTTACCAGACTGTGCCTAAAGAATTTTGTGGAATACACTTTGTTTGCTTCATGTGCAGATAACCAAAAATCATTTTAAAAGATATAAAACTTATTGATGGGCAATTTATTTTTTTTATTGCAAAAGTTTTTTCAGAAAACTTTTTAAATGTAATTAAACCATCTGAATCTGTCATTCTAGTCCTATAAATTATAATCGAGGTATCTTGATGGTTATATGTGGTATTGTTTACACTGTTAATATCCACATGTAAGGCCATTACACAAATAAATAATCGATGTTAAAATTCAAATGGTTTGTCTTGATTTACTGTGGGAGTAAAGATGAGAAAAATGTGAAGTCTGCATTGAAGTCCACATCAGTTATATTTTAACAGTATCCAAAGTTTCATATAGGAGAATGGTTTATTATAAAAGACTGTACATAAAATTTAGACAACAGGTTATATACAAATTAAGAGAACAATCCACTTCAAAAATGGAAAGTAGAAGGTAGCTAGCTGATCACTAATGATACTTTGTTTAAAATTAACAAAGGCAAAATGTGTATGAAATAGTCACATTGATTTGGTAGCAGTAATGGTCTTTAATTTTCAGAAATAACTGTTTTGCACTAGTCTTACCATTCACTATGGTGTTACAAGTCTGTAACGTCCAGTACATAACTGTAATTTGAATTCCAAACAAACCCTCGATAACACAGAAACCCACACTTGAGTGCTCTACTTTAATATCCTAAGCAATATAGAATTATACACAAGAAGAGAAAACATCCCTCAGCCCTCCCTTAAATTAAGAGGAGACACACAAAGTGCATGTGTTGCATTTTGATTATGTCAAAAGACAATACAAGTCTGTTCATTAGGTAAATCTCTGTTCACTGATTAATACATGACCCACCTTCTTTCCCAATTATTTTATTTTAAAATTCTAATGTTGCTAGTGCCAGGTAATGGATTAAATAGTGCCTATTCACAAATCAACTGTATCCACTTTTACAATATGTAAAAGGTACTTTTAATTTCCTTTCATTGAACCAGTGTACAACAGTCCACTGCAAAACTGAAGGACATGGCAATCCTTACGAATTTTACTTACAGAATGAATGCACACAACTTGACACATTTTCTTAGCTTCAAAAGATTCTTTAAAAAAGGAATTCAGTAGATTGACTTGTAAATAACCATTGCAGATTTTGAATCTGCAAAAACCCGTCACATTGCTGTTGGGACAGATTAAGATAAGGCTAAAATTTTTTTCCAAGTTAACATATTGAGAAAATAGAACCATAATTCTGCAATAAATCATTATCTTTTATTTTTTTTTAAAGCAAACCAGTGAAGGAAAGGACAAAAACCTTTGGTTCACTTATGTATTTATGAATGGAAAAAATTTATAATGCAAATTTCACTCATTAAAAAACTTAGGTACAAATTACAACATTACAGATAATTCTCTTTTTGCTTCTTTTGTTTCACATGGAGACCCTTGGAGACTCAATTCATATTAAGACACCTAAGTATGAGTCCTCCAGGTAAATATTACACAAATGGGAAGCATCTTGGAATTTTTAAGTATATTTCAATACATAAATTTTTATGCATGCTTTAAACAAACAGTATTTTTTTTAAATGAGAGAATCTAACAAAAAAAGTCTGACCAGCACCAGCATTTAAATTTTCTGATTTTAATATTAGTCTGACATAGCGTTAGTAATCATGCTGCACTGAAACATGTAATGGTACAATCTGAATAATGATTCGTTAAATATTATACCCCACTTCCCCCAGAATATTTAGGCTGGTCATAAAGTTAAAAATGTGTAAGTAAGTACATAAGCATAATCAGTTATGGACAGCTTCTTGTATAAATTGCTATTTAGCAATACACAAACTGCCTCAAAGATTTATGCTTACAGGTAGACATTCAATTTACCAATAAAACAGCATGTTCTGAAAATATGGGCACATTTTAAAACATATTAAGACAGTTCTGTTAACCATAATTGTCCCACAGTATGACTGAGTAATAAGAATCTACTTTAAAAGCAAAAAAAAAAAAAAAAAAATTAATCAGTATAGTGCATGATTGATTCAACATAGTTCCCAGGGAACAGACCAGTCACTCGATTGCAGACTCCTTCATACCAGCCATCATCATTCTTCTTTATAACATAAATGATTGCACCCTCCATAAATGACAGCTCATCATCCTTGTCTTTTGTATAATCATATATTGCAACAACTATGGAAAAAACAGTTGAAATATCACATGAATGCACTATATCCAACATTTACTTGAATTTTAAGACAAAGCCAATTAAATATATAGCACAGCAAAACCATTTTTATGAAGATTTCTTAATTTTTGTATCTATCAATATAAGTAGGTCAGTGCCAACCATGTACTTATATCATTGGCTTAATCTTAGAGTCAAATGACAATCTGATTAGACTGAACAGGTCAATAGGTTCTGTCAATCACTTTAAGAAAGCTCTCTGAACTTCAGAATTTATTAGATGTTTCAATTCATTCAAATACCAAGTGCCAATCATATACAAAGCACCGCTTTTCGAAATAATTATCAGGCAAAGCTGCACAGCCATTCAGTAAACCAGGTAACAACCCAAGCTATCTAATTTGAAAATACACAGTCACTGGAAGGTAAATCACATCCTACTCATTCAAGGACCCATGCTAATTTAAGGGACTGTTCCCAGATTTTTTAAAAAGAACATTTACTTACTTCAAAGGATTTTAATTAATATTTAGAGAACGTGGCAATTCTGTGGTGTCTGTAATTCTTTTCAGTTCAAGATATAGGTTGAGTAACCCTTATCTGAAATGCCTGGGATCAGAACTGCTTTGGATTTGGGTTTTCTTTTCAGACTTGGGAATTTTACATATAGGTAATGAGATATTATCTTGGAGATGGGATCCAAGTCTAAACACAAAACTCATTTTTGTTTCACATACACCTTACACACATAGCCTGAAGGTAATTTTATTTTTCCCTTGGGAACACTGAATAAACTGTATCATGTGCCTGCATTCTGACTGTGACCCATCACATGAGGTCAGGTGTGGAATTTTCCACTTGCAGCATCATGTTGGAACTCATTGTGGATTTTGGAGCATTTTGAATTTGGGACTTTCAGATAGCGATGCTCAGCCTATATTCACTTCCTTTGCAAAGTGCTGTGGAATGCAATCTAAAGTGTATCATGGCCCAAGGACAAATCCAAACCACTGCATTTTTTGTAAATAAAGTTTTATTGCAATATGGCCACATCTACTTACTGATGTACTATGTCCTCTTTTACGCTACAACAGTAGGACTGAGTAGTTGTGACAGAGACTGTATAGCCAGCAAAGTTTAAAATATTTACTATCTGGCTTTATGCCAAACAAAGTATGCTCACCCCTAGTTCTTGGGAAGATACTTTTTAATCCTCTACTATGAAGTATATTACCCGATATGTCATTCCAAATTTGTCAACTTCTATAAATATGGTCCCATTTTCATAGTTAAATTTGCTTTACCAAGAAAGAAAATATGGGTAAAAACACAATTCAAGGCCACTGAAGTTTATCATCCTCATAAGTAACAACAGCTCTCTATTTGAAGGTATATGGGAATCTAAAGTAGAATATTTAAGACTTTCTTAACAATATGTAAATTATTTACCGTTTAAAAATATAAGGCCAGGAGTGGTGGCTCACACCGGTAATCCCACAACTGGGAGGCTGAGATGGGCGGATCACTTGAGGTCAGGAGTTCAAGACCAGGCTGGCCAACATGGCAAAACCCCGTCTCTACTAAAAATATAAAAGTTAGCTGGGCGTGGTGGCGGGCACCTGTAATCCCAGCTATTTAAGAGGCTGAGGCAGGAGAATTGCTTGAACCCAGGAGGCAGAAGTTGCAGTGAGCCGAGATCACACCACTGCACTCCACACTGGGAGACAGAACAAGACTCCACCTCAAAAAATAAAAAAATATAAAAGGAAAACAAATTTACTTTTGCCACATATCCAAAACTTGGGCAGGAAAGAATGCTGCTGGTCTCAAGAGCTACAGCTACCTGCTTAAAGACTGTTAACCCAATAAAGTCAATAGAAGGAAATATATCAAAGGCAACCAAAAGTGTTCAACTAAATCACAAGCATTTTTCAGAACTCTATAGAAATACAGATTTGATTTTATTTTTAATTGATTCCCATTTCTGCAAAAAGAAATACAGATTTTAAAATAGCACAGAACTGGATGAAAAAATAAAAACTCTAGAAACAGGATTTGTTTCTTCCCCACCTATATTTCTTAATAGATAATTACAGTGAATATTGGGTACTGTAGGTAAATTAGACTTTAAAGTAGTTCATAGTTTCATGAAATATAATCCTGGTAATTTGTCTTCTCTTTTATAAAATCACCTGACGCCTTAATTTAGGCTTTTCTCATGATAGTACTAATAAATTTTTAAAGACAGATGCTCCTCCACTTCCATATGATGGGGTTATGTCCCAATAAACCCACTGTTTAGTGGAAAATATTGTAAATTGAAAGTACATTTTCAACCTATAACTTATATTTTTTACTTATAACAGGTTTATCCAGACAAAGTTACATCATAAGTTGAGAAGCATACTGAATGCATATCATTTTTGTACCATCATAAAGTTGAAAAGATCCTAAACTGAACCACTGTAAATCAGGGACCATCTATATTTAGATATGAAAGGTCATCAACAGAGCTTGACAGAACTTTTAAAATCTTTAGTAATTACATATAACTCCATTTTTGTGCCTTAGCTGTTTCATCTACAAAATGCCATCCAGCAAGTTAATCTTCAGCTGAACACATATGTAGTTTGAAAGCAAATCTAACACTGCAATTTTAATTTAAAATACAAAGAAAGAATCCCCCTATACACTGGGAATAATACAAAGCTTAGGAAGTAAGGTTTAAGTAAATCATCTTGGCTGGTAAGGCAGTTTAAAAGGCTGAGAAACATTGGACTAGATGTTCTTTATAGTCCTAAATTTCTACAATTAGGTTATATTCCTTCACATCAATTCAATGATTGTACCTTACCTTTCTCAATATAATTCTTGGGGGCCCAAGCAGGATCCCCATCTGCATATGGATCATTATACTGAACTACTGCAGCCTCCTCATCTTCATAATCCACTGGAGGTGGTGGTGGGGGAGGTGGAGAGTCATCAAACATGGGAATGTCATCTGGTGGAGGTGGTGGCGGTGGAGTTGGACTATCAGCAACTAAAAAGATTCAT